CACCATCATTAAAACGTCACGTGGCGTGTGACTGCCTATGTGTACATACATACATACATACCCATAAATACACCTACAAGTATATGAAAGTATGTATACATACAAACAAACATATCACAGATTTTTACAAAATCGATCTCAAGGTTTTTCACGAGGAAGAAGGGGCACAGCTGTTCTTTGTGATGCAGAGGGGAAGAACAAGGCCCAAATGGGGCAGCTCCACGTGAAGGCAGCTGTCTCCTGTCGCAGGGCGAGCTCTACCTCAGGGAGGGCCGCCTGGCCACATCTTGGAGCAGCAGGGAGGGAAGGCCCCTGCGGCGGGCACTGGGCACCGGCTGGCCACCTGCTTGGCAGAGGATGTTGCCAAGTGTCCCGGAGGCTGGGTGCGTGGGACTCGGCACCCTTCCCGACCCCTTCCATGGAGCTCCAGGACTGTGCGGGGGTCTCAGGTCACACACAGACAAGGGTCTCCTACCTTTGCTCTTCAGGGTGTTAGCCAGGGGCAAGAAGTAGGTGGTGAAGAAACCAAGTCGCGTTTCCTGAACGTGGTCTCGGATGACAGGCAGCAGCCAGCTCCGTGGGAAATCCAGAGTCTCTCTGGGGGGAGAATGGGAAGAACCCAATGAGGATGAGGGGACAGCCCTGAGGGCAGCGCATAGGCTACTGAGCCCAGAACAGAGCGAGTCCCCCTCTGGCCCCTCCTGCTGAGCCCTGCACTGACACACAGACTTCAGCCCTCAGCAGTGGACATCCTTTCCAGGGGAGAGAACAAGCCGGCTGACTTCTGGGGCTTTGTCGGGAAGCTAGCCAGGGTCACACTTACTCAGAGCCATCAATTTCCAAAGGCACAGCCTGCAGCACCACCTCAGGTCCCATACTGGTCACCGCAGCCCCCACTGCCTGGTCAAGAGCCGCCGTGTGGGGGAAATGAGGGGAGAGGCGCAGGTCACACAGGGACTGGAGGCACTGAAGCAGAGATGAGTGACCACACATCAGGACACACTCGAGAGCAGGACCCACGACAAAACCCCGCCAGCCTCCGAATGGATGAGGCCAGAATTTTGGGCCTGGGTTCAATGCTACACCAGAGTGTACAAACTGAGAACCCAATTAACCACTGGTGATTATAAAATCCAGGACCTAGGATTTTATAAACTTCTGTTACATTTAACACGTAAAAATCAGAAAATTTCACATACAAATGTAGATTTCCAATTATCTTTGAAAATAGGACAAATTTATCTTGCCTGCATGCAACAATCAGCAATCAGCAGGCACTGAGGAGAGAGAGGTGCACCCTTGGTTCACCAGGCCACAGCCCTCCACCAGCCACACTTTCATGGCCCTGCCTGCCTGGCTTCTTGGATGAAGCCAAATTGGCCAATCTATCAGGACTCAGGCCAGGCCTCTTGAGGGAGACCCTGATCTCCCACAGGGGTTCCTTTTTCCAGCAATGGGAGGGAGTCAGTGAGGAGAGCCCCAAGAAGCCAGGAGCTGCTGTCCCTGCTGATGCAGGACCAGTCTGGGGGCTGTCCTCAGGCCCCCACTCTCTCCTGGACTAGGGTCTGCTCAGGATCCCTGAGTGATCCCTGATTGTTAAATGATTAACCCTGGACTGGAGGAACCTCCCTGGGACCTAGGGCTATATAGAACATCAATGCTATACTCACTCGTTATAGGAAACTTAGAGAATTAAAACTTAAAAGATAAGGGTGGGGGTAAGATTTCCTAAGTTTCAAAACCAGCAACTCCAGCAAAGACTAGTGGGCAGGGCCGGGCGCGGTGGCTCAAGCCTGTAATCCCAGCTCTTTGGGAGACCGAGGCGGGTGGATCACGAGGTCAAGAGATCGAGACCATCCTGATCAACATGGTGAAACCCCGTCTCTACTAAAACTACAAAAAATTAGCTGGGCATGGTGGCGCGTGTCTGTAGTCCCAGCTACTCAGGAGGCTGAGGCAGGAGAATTGCCTGAACCCAGGAGGCGGAGGTTGCGGTGAGCCGAGATCGCGCCATTGCACTCCAGCCTGGGTAACAAGAGTGAAACTCTGTCTCAAAAAAAAAAAAAAAAAAAAATACTAGTGGGCAGGTAGGGGGACCCCCACCCTGTTTTCTGCCCCTTCCTTGCCGGTCAGTCACCTTCCAGGGACACCGCATGGGGCACCTGCTATGGCCTTGTCAGGGTGAGGTGGGGAGCAGAGTGCAGAGATAACAGAGACACGTGCCCTCCAGTAGCCCGCAGTCCCAGGGCCAGCACCACCTCCTGCCCTGGCCCCAGCCGCTCGCCACTCACCTTCCTCATCACTAGGTGGGCCTGTCTCCCACATGCCTCAAAGAAGACACAGAGCAGCTGCAACACGGAGCTCCAGGCCGCGTGGAATTTGTACGTCAGGCCCTCCTCCACTGCCCTGCCAAGGGAGTGGCACAGTCAGGGTCATGCTTACGCCACCCTGTGCCCCCACCGGAGAAAGTCAACAGCCAGCACCCTGAGCTACAAAGACACTAGTTGGCCAGCAAGAATGGGGCCCCAAGAGACAACAGAAGAGAAGTACCATCTGTGATGTGCCCACACTCCCTATGTTAACAGTTTTAGATAATCCTAGTGCTTAAAGAAAAGCCTATGGGGTAGTTATCTGACCCGACTTCAGATGGGGAAACCCGGGCTCGGAGAGATGCAATAACTGCCCCGGTCACTCTAGGAACACTGGGCCTCCGACGTCTGTGACTTGTCACCACCCCATGCTTTCCCCATCTGACCAAAGGCAGCAGACACTCCGCTACGAACACTGGGCCTCCGACGTCTGTGACTTGTCACCACCCCATGCTATCCCCATCTGACCGAAGGCAGCAGACACTCCACTAGGAACACTGGGCCTNACCACCCCATGCTATCCCCATCTGACCGAAGGCAGCAGACACTCCACTAGGAACACTGGGCCTCCGACGTCTGTGACTTGTCACCACCCCATGCTTTCCCCATCTGACCGAAGGCAGCAGACACTCCGCTAGGAACACTGGGCCTCCGACGTCTGTGACTTGTCACCACCCCATGCTTTCCCCATCTGACCGAAGGCAGCAGACACGGTAGGAACAGGTGGCCTGGACAGAGGAAGAGCCTCTAGCCCCTCTGGACTGTGCACACCTTGGTCTGCTCTATCTCCCAAGGAAGTCTAGGCCCCTGGAGACTTTCGGCAAGAATGGCCAATAGGAGTCAGTGTGGGGAAGTGATGGGACTGGGGCTGGGGCTGGGGGAGTTGTATTCCTTGAGTTTTCCTGAAACTTCATCTTAGATAGATCCAAAGGAGACAGGCCTATCTCCCACATGAGAAACAGTCATCAGAGTACCACACCCTGGAGCTGTGCAGACAGACCTCGACCTAGAGGAGACACCGAGGGTCCCAGCCCCTTGCCTGGATCACTCAGGAGGGCCTAGTGCTCTGCTCACTACCTGCTGGAGGATGAAGTGAGTGGTGGCTGCACCTGTCAATGGCTCCTCTCACAGGTGTGCAGGGCAGCACGGCATGTGAGTAAGAGTGGACTCTGTGTTCGGGCTGCCACTAGTTGGGTGACCTCAGCTTCCCCATCTGTAAAATGGAGGAGGCACCCATCTCCTAGCACCGTCGTGGTTTATAACGATGAAATGCTTAACTGTTGTTCTGAGAACTGTCCCTGTGTCACCTCATTTCATCCTCCCCTGCCTGTTATTCACTTTGACCAACAAGGACCCTGAGGTAGAGAGAGGTAGAGGAACTTGCTCCAGATGACTGTGACCTCCAATCAATACAGCTGGACTGAAACCCAGCGGGTGCCAGAGTCCACACCCTTCAGCACCACACTATGGCAGCTCTCACGTTATGTGTCCGCGGTGGCTGCTCTGGCAGGTGTTCAGTAAGCAGCCGGCAATCCTGTAAAACACTGGCACTGCAGCCTGGCCCACAGTAGGTGGACAGTGGAGCACCTGTCATCATATAGAGCTTTCCTCAAGGTACCCCCATTTCTTCCAAATGTGGACCCCATATCCTTACCTGAACATCTTGACAACAGACTGGGCGGGGCCTGAGGCCGAGGAGGTCACGGAGCCGATGTCAGCCATGTGGGGAGCCACACATTCCTTCAGGATCTCCTGCAAAGAGAGGCCACAGGCTATCTGGGCCCAAGGCGGCCCCCCAGGACCACTCTTCCCTCCCAGGCAACAGCTTCCTGGGAGTCCAAGACAGCTTCAAACAAACATGCCACCACGCTCTCCCATTTTGAGAGCAGTCTCTCTGGGCCCGAGCTGGCAGCCACGGGCCAGTGCTGGGAGAGACAGGGCAGTCCTCAGCACCCTCTGTGCTCTCTGCTTCCTCAGCTAGAGCTATAGTACCTTGAGGCTGTGTGTGGCAGCGGTCACCACTTGCGCGTGTGGGGAAAGGAGGCAGGTCACTGCAGTTCCAAAAAAGCGAGGGAGGTGGCCTAGCCCCAGGTCCCACTGCAACCTGTCAAGACAAAAGGCTTCTGTGGGGCCTGGCCCTGAGCCCTGGGGACCCGGGCAACCAAGGCTCAACCCTCAGACAGCCCAGCTCTGACAACAATCACAAATCCACTGATCTACAGGGCTCCATCGGGCCCTTCTGGTGGCTGATTTTTAAAAAGGCACTATCAGGCCAGTGCGGTGGCTCACACCTGTAATCCCAGCACTTTGGGAGGCCGAGGCGGGCAGATCATGAGGTCAGGAGATAGAGACCATCTCGGCTAACACAGTGACACCCCGTCTCTACTAAAAATACAAAAAATTAGCCAGGTGTTGCAGTGTGCGCCTGTAGTCCCGGCTACTCAGGAGGCTGAGGCAGGAGAATCACTTGAACCCGAGAGGCGAGAGGCGGAGGTTGCAATGAGCCGAAATCGTACCACTGCACTCCGGCCTGGGCAACAGAGCAAGACTCCACTTAAAAAAACAAAAAAAGAGGTGGGGCACTACTGTTCAAGTAATAACTACATGTGGTAAATAATTGAAACAGGTCTTCAGGGTGTAAAATGAAGGGCGTGCCTTCCCTAACTCACCCTTCTGTGCACTTCCTAGGGGAAAACCAAGGTTAAGTTTCTTAAATACCTTTCCAGAAGTTCTAAAATATACAAACATAAAAATAGTAACTTCTTTTTGTTGTGGTGGTGGTGGTGGTGGTGCACTCATAGCTCACAGACTCTCAAACTCCTGGGCTCGAGCGATCGTCCCACCTCAGCTCCTGAGTAGCTGGGACTACAGGCACATGCCACCACGCTCAGCTAATCTTTTTATTTCTTGTAGAGACAGGATCTCACTGTGTCTCCCAGGCTAGTCTCAACCTTCTGGCCAAGCGATCCTCCTGCCTTGGCCTCCCAAAACCCTGTGATTACTGGTGTGGGCCACTGCACCTGGCCTGGTAGCATTTATATGATTCTTACCATATACCAGCCACTGATATGACATACATTCATTTAAACCTTGTAACAACTAATGAGATAAATCCTATTACAATTTCCATTTTATGAATGAAAAAAGACACAGAGAAATCAAATAACTTGTCCAAGGCCATCCAGCTTGGTAATGGGGTCAGGATTCACACTCTGGCAATCTGGTTCCAGAGTACACACAGAGAAACAATCACACCACACCCACTGTTCTATACCTTGCATTTCCCCAATCTATCTTAGAATTCCTTCCATTTAAGTGCACATACAACCACTTCGTTTTTTTTTTTTTTTTTTTTTTGGACACAGGGTCTTACCCTGTCGCCCAGGCTGGAGTGCAGTGGTGCAATCTCCACCTCACGGGTTCAAGTGATTCTTGTGCCTCAGCCCTCCAAGTAGCTGAGATTACAGGTGTGCACCATCACACTCAACTAATTTTTGTATTTTTAGTACAGATGGGGTTTCACCATGTTGGCCAGGCTGGTTTCAAACTCCTGGCCTCAAGTGATCTGCCCGCCTCCGCCTCCCAAAATACAGGGATTACAGGTGTGAGCCACTGCACCAGGCCCAGTCTGATTGTTTCTAATAGCTGCACAGTACTTCACTGCTTGTATTTCCCCCCTCCACGGAACATTTAGCTTTCTTCCAGTTTTTATGCGTTACCTTGAGGGGGACAAGCATCCTGGGACACACAATGGGGCCCAACTGTGGGTGTGCTCCAGGAAGATGAAGCCTAAGAAGTGGCGAATGGGGTGATTTTGCCATTTCTGGACACCTCCCAATAAAGGCAGTTTGGTGCAGGAAAAACAACACGGGCTGGGCAGGCCTGGGCCAGAGACCCAGCCTTGCTCCTCAGGACTGCATGACTAGCTCACTCACAGAGCCTCGGTTTCTGGCTTATAAATTGGGGTAAACCCTTCTTCATGGCGTTGCTGTGATTAGTGAGAAGAAATATAGGTAAAGAGTGCTTGGCACATGCCTGGGTGAGAGCAGGCAGTGGGAACCCTTCAGCTGCGGGGAAGACAGACCCAGCACAGCAGAGCCATGAGGCCTTAGAGACACTAGCCTCTCTCCACGCAGGTCGCCAGTTGTTTACTATATACTCAGTTTCTTCTCAGCCTTATTCCAGAACAGTGGACTTACTTTTTCTTTTTCTTTTTTTTTTTAAACAGAGTTTCACTCTTGTTGCCCAGGCTGGAGTGCAATGGCACGATCTCGGCTCACTGCAATCTCTGCCTCCCAGCTGCAAGCAATTCTCCTGCCTCAGCCTTCCGAGCAGCTGAGATTACAGGAGCCCGCCACCACGCATGGCTAATTTTTTGTATTTTTAGTAGAGATGGGGTTTTACTATGTTGGCCAGGCTGGTTGCAAACTCCTGACCCCAGGTGATCCACCGGCCTCTCAAAGTGCTGGGATTATGGGAGTGAGTCACCACGCCCAATGAAAAGTGAAATTACTATTAAGTGGCCAAGCCCAAACCCTGTAAGTATGCAGACACAAAGCAGAAAGTCGGTTCACGGGCCTATGGATCCTAGAGAAAGGAGCCGTCAGTCCAGGTGGGAGTGGAGTAGAGCCGCAGAAAGGATATCCCACAGCAAGGAAAGCAAGAGCACAGGAAGACACAGCCAGCGAGTGTCAAGAGGCAGGGTGAAATTCAGGCCTCAACCTGGGCACAGTGCTCGCAGCCATCGTGCTGTTCCTCATGGCTGGCTGGCAAAAGGTCTGGCAGGAATCAGACCTGGCTAGAACGCTGCACTGTCCTATCTCGCGCCTCACAGAAACAAGAGCTGCTCTGCAGCCCACCTGACACAGAGACGCTGCTTGGCCCCAGGAGGCTGAACAGCCTCTCCAGGTTCCGGCTTATATTCCCTCCACCTCAGCAGCCAGGACAGAGGCCCTGAGCACCCCCAACCTCAGCAGCCAGGATGGAAGCCCTGAGAACCCTCCAGCCCTGCAGCCAAGACCAAGAGGCCCTGAGGACCCCCCATCTCAGCAGCCTAAATAGAGGCCCTAAGGACCCCCCATCTTAGCAGCCAGAATGGACCCCCTGACTTTGGCAGCCTGGACACAGGCCCTAAGCACCCCTCACCTTGGCAGCCTGGACAGAGGCCCTGAGCAACCCTTCTTCATCCCTACCTCACCAGGTTGACGTGGGCTTTCTCCATGACCTTAAGCCAGGCCAGCAGGGGCTGTAAATCGTTCTCACTGGGAACATAGTCATACAAGGCCTAGAGGTGGGAATAAGCAGGTGAGTTGAGCATGTGGAGTCTGCAACAGCACAATGATGATCCCTTCCCATCCCGGCACCAGCAATTTCCTGGGGACAGTGAGTGTGATCCTGGTACTCAGAGCCCCCTTGGCTTTCCCAGCTTCTACCTGCCCCTTCTCCACAAAGCCCTCCCAGCTCTGATTCTTTGGGAGAACAGTCTCTAGGAGCAGTGGAGTACCATGGGTCACATATCCCTTTGTGAGTCTGACAAAAGCCAGAGGCCTTCTTAGAGGAAAAAAAAAAAAAAGGACATTTTGCTAATTTGGGGGATTTGTTCCCCCTCCCAAAATCCATCCACAAACCTCTAAGGTTGAGAGCCCTGCGCAAGGTATCTGTGAGCACCACAAGACCATGCTGAAATAGTTCATTAAAGTTAACTAGGTCAAAGGACAGGGTCCCAGCTCCTGGGGATACTGATGTGGATTTGGTGGCTGGACTCTAATCTTCCTTCCGTTTCTACTGGCCACCTCCACTGGGATACCCCAGCCTAGCCAACCTCACTCTGTAGAAAAGGCACAGGGCCAGTGCCCCCAGCCTCCCAAGGGATGCCCCCACAATGCCCCTCACCCCACCAACAGGCCTCACCGTGATGATCTGGGCGTTGAGCTCTGCCGACAGGGTGCTCAGGCCAGGCCTGGCGTGGAAGAGGCTGTGAAAGGCCTGCATGGCACAGGCTGTCACCAGCTGGAGGGGACACACAGGCTTAGAAAGGAACTGCAAAGTCCACAGCTGACCCTGGACCCCTCAACATTCCACTCTACCCCATGTGCTAGGGAGTTGAGGGCCCCCTGAACCTCACACATGCCCCCCACACAGAGATACTCTGAGGACTGTCACCTTAGTAAGACATGGAAGCCACTGAAAAAGCTTTAAATGACTTAAAGACAGAAATATTAACAAAATGGTTTTAACATAACAGCCAAAAACGCAGGCTATGAATGGTCTGCGTGCTATAATTATAGCTGTGGGTTTTTTTGTTTTTTGTTTTTTTTGAGACAGAATCTGGCTCTTTTCGCCAGGTACAGTGGTGAGACCAATACAGGTGCATGCCACTGTGCCTGGCTAATTTTTCAATTTTTGTAAAGACAGAGTCTCACTATGTTGTCCAGGCTGGTCTCAAGTTCCTTGCCTCCCGCCTCGGCCTCCCAAGTGCTAAGTTTACAGGCGTGAACTTCACCTGGCCTTTGCACGTGTTATCATGTATGTTTGCTTGTCCAAAGAGAAAATGTCTGAAAGGGTTCCCAGGAAGTTATTTGCATTGTCTACCTTAGGAAACAGGATTTGGAGAAGGAGATTTTTACTTTATATACTTCTGAATTGTTTTTTCCTTTTAAACAATGATTATGTTATTTACATTTCACAATTTTAAAGGTATGTATGTAAATAAACACTACGGGAGAATACACAGTGAACTGGCAGGAGTGTCTGTGGGGCGTCGGTTCCAGGACCTCCCCCCATGGACAGAAAATCTACCAATGCTCAGGTCCCTATATAAAATGGTGTAGTATTTGTATATAACCTACACGTATCCTCCCATATACTTTAACTCACCTGGATTACTTATAATACATAATACAATATAAATGCTATGTAAATAGGTGCTACGCTCTGTTGTCTAGGGAATAATGACAAGGAAAAGAACTACATGTTCAGTACAGAAGCAACCAACCACTTTCTTTTCCCTGAATATTTTCTTTTCTTTTTCTTCCCTTTTTTTTTTTACATAGGGTTCTTGCTCTGTTGCCCAGGCTGGAGTGCAGTGGCATGACCATGGCTCACTGCAGCCTCGACCTCCTGAGCTCAAGCAATCCTCCCACTTCCACCACTCAAGTAGCTGGTACTATAGGCATGTGTGATCGTGCCCGGTTCCCAAATATTTTCAATCCAAGGTTGGCTGAATTTATGGCTGTGGGACCCACACATACAGAAGGCTGACTGTATAAAGATTTAGAGAATTGTGCTAGAAATGGTGGAAATACAGAGAATCATTTTTCATGTGTCTTTAAAGCTGCTAAAAAAAAAAAAAAAATTGGTATAGGGTACATAGAGCCGGGGCAGAGGGAGGGTGTACCAGTCCACTACAGATCACCCTGACTGTGACCTGATCTCTGACATCAGCTTCCAACTGGAAGGGGACCCTGATATGGCCTGGCCCAGCCAAATACCACAGATTGATGTGGTACCCTTGGTTTTAGGCCAGGGAGGGAGACCCCAGGCTCTGCTTTTTGACTGACCAGCGAGTTCCCCAAATGCCACCACTGTAGACCCCCCTTTCTCCAGCTCTTGGGCCTGCACTCACCACATGGCTCAAGGTCATGACCCTGAGGAGAGTCTCACTGGAGCTCTTCACCAGGCCTTCTGGGAAGCAGGGCAGCAGGTCCTTCAGCAGTGTCAACATGTGCAGTGTGGTGGTGGCCTCCTTGGAGCCTGGTAGACATAAGGGGAATTGAGACACCAGCCGCCTCCCTGCAGCAGGCCCTGTCATGCTCTGCCAGCCACGGCCTCCCATCCACCTGCCCTCCATCCACCTGCCCTCCATTTGGCTTCCCCACCTCCAGACTTCTCAATCTCCTGGATACAGAACTTAGCGGTGGAAACAGCGGCAGGATGATGGGCAGGGGCCTTTTCTCCAAACATGAATTCACTCCCCTTGAGAACTGAGCATACTCCATGCTGGGCAGCCTTCCGGATCTGAGGGGCAAGGAAAGCAGGGGACAAGGCCAGATCAGCATTCCACCAGCATCCTGGGTGTCCGGCACCATCACCAACCAACAAGCTTTGGCTGAACATATAGATCCAATGATGATCTGACTACTATAAATCCAGTGCTATGCCAGGACCTTCACAAGTACAGAATCCTGAGCTGTGAAGCAAGACAAACCCTGGTTCAAATCCCTGCTCTACAACTAACTCACCAAATGGCCTTAAGCAAGCCCAACTACTAAATTTCTGAGTTTCAGTATCATCTTTAAACAGGGATTTCTTCATTCACCCAATCATCTAGCAAACACTGAGTGTCCACCAAGCCAGGCACTGTTCTAGGTCCTGGCAAACTGGCAGTGAATAGCAGGCAACTCACTTTCCAGCCAGGAAGTAGAAAACAAATACACAGCAGAAGATAAAAAGTACTGTGCATGGCCGGGCGCGGTGGCTCAAGCCTGTAATCCCAGCACTTTGGGAGGC